CCGGGTGCGGCGGGGGCCCCTGAAGCTCCGAGGGTCTGTGTGGAGCGGCGGGGAGCGTGTGGCCAGGTGGCGGACGCCTCTCTTCTCAGGCAGCTAACCAGTGACAGGATGAGAGGACACAGCCTTAAATTACACCAGGAGATGATTTATTCATCCCTGTACGGAAGGGACACTACTAAACGGATGGCGAAGGACTTTTTGCAAGTGCGTGTAGTGATCGGACAAGGGAGAATGACTTCAAACTGATAGATGTTGGATTTAGATCAAACGTTAGGAAGAAATTCTTTACTGTGAGGGTGGTGGGATACTGGAAAAGGTTGTCCAGAGATGTTGTGGATGTCCCATCCCTAGAAGTGTTCAAGGACAGGTTGGATCGGGCTTTGAGGAACCTGTTTTAGTAGAAGGCGCCGTGCCCATGGCAGAGAGGTTGGAACTAGATGATATTTAAGGTCCCTTCCAACACAAACCACTGTACGATTTTACATTTATAGTAATAATGGAGTGTTTGCTGATGACACTTGGATGTGTCTGACAGCACTTGAGAAACAGCTCTTGCTGACTGGTGTAAAGCAAAGTGATGAGGGGGTGAAGTAGGAGGTGAATCATGAGAGGGTTTGGGTTTTCTTTTTTGTGTAACCTAGACTCTAGGACTACACTGCTTTGTCTATAATGCAAGGCAGTTTCACAAAGGAGTTTCTTAAGCATGTACAAAAGATGCATGGTATATTGTTGGTCATCTGAGGGCTAATCTTATTTTTGAAAATTTGTACTTGCCATCATAATTGGAAAAAATAAATTGATAGGTGGATAAATGATAGATGTGTTTATTTGCTCCTGATTTTTTTTTTGCACATAACTGCAGGTGCACAAAATAAGATGGCCTTATAATAGTCAGAGAGGGTGGAGTTATACCATGTATTGCATGAGAAACTGCATTTTTATCAGCACCCAACAAAAATGTAAAGGTGCAGTGCAAATGCTTTCCAAAGGATATATGCCACTGCTCTCTCAGTTTATGGCTAATTGTTTCTCCATGTGTTGCCATCACTGTGCTACTCTTTCACAGCAAACTCATATTAATGTCCTCCATCTGCTCTATCAAAATTTTACTAAATTTTTAATTGCAACTCAATACTGTCTGTCATTTTTCAGGACAGTATTCCTATCTGTAGAACAATATAACAAATGGACTTTATTAAGCTAATTATAAATGTACTGTGATTGCTGCAACAAGGGTTTGTTTAGCACGGGAGGCTGAACTCACACGGATCCATCAGTGCTTTTTCAAGAGCAATTACAAGAGAAGCATCACCTACTGAGTGAAAATTCCTTTCAGCTGTGCATGATATGCTCGTTCAATGAAATATGAAGAGCTTTAACCAGATGAACACTGGGCTATTCACATTTCCCCAAACAGGACTGGTGGGAACTTCATGTGACCCCATGTGACACTTGTGATAATAATAAAATGGATTTGTATCTAATTTTTCTACAGCAAAAAGAAGGAAATAAGGAATCAGGAATTTCCCAAAATAAAAAGATTTCTTCAGGAGGAAGAGCTACATCATTCACCACTATAGGAGTGTTCAATCCAGGTCCTTCTCACATCTTTAAATATGGTCAGTCTACATTGAATATAAGTTTTCTTACACTGTCCTAAGTGTTGGTGTTAGTTGCTACAAAAGCATTTCATAAAGGAGACACATGCACTCTTTATTGCCAATATACTCCTACACTGTAATTTTGGCCATTTTGGTCAGATTTTGTTAAATGAAGCCCTAATTAGGTTAAACTTTAAAAAATATTCCTAACCTGGAACAGCAGCTTCAGTTTTGCTGCTCTTGTTTTAGACCAGAAAAGAGATGATTGTTTACCCAAAACTGTTCCAGGGGCATGTTGTATCAGCTGGTGCAATACATTTTACACTATCATAGCTCAAGACTGGTATTCAATTTAAATATTTTTATTGTTACAAATAGAACAGTGATATATTAAGGGAAAAGTGGATATTTCCATAAAATAGTAAAAAAGTGGATATTTCCATAAAATAGTAATTAAAAACACACACACAGAAAAAACTTGACATTAATAATGAAAAGAAGTGGTGGATGGGCTCAATAATTATTGCTGGCATTATAAGACAACCAAAATAGGGGAAGATTAGTCCCTCATTATTGGGAGCACTGACTCCCTCTGTCTACATCTCCTGTTTTGGACTCACACTAGCAGCTCTGCTTTCCCTCTTGCCTGCTTGTTCCCTTTAGCCTGTGTATTCCCATGACTGTTTCTGAAGCCAGTTTGCCTTCTTCCTCTCCATTAGCATTATTTAACATGGGTATCTCTTCTTCCTAGTATATTCTTACTGATCTGCAGTTAAAATGTGTAGGAGTTCCACCACTGGGAAAATTAGTCACTGATCTCATTTACATTGTCCCTTGTTCCTTCCTTACTGCACTCTGAATAAGATGAACTTTAAAGAGCTGCCTACTCCTGACTCTTCACAAGCTTGCTTTCTATAATTCAAATAACTTTTTTTTTTTCCTAATACCTTCTGTGTTCTACTCTAATAAACTGATGAAAGGTGGACAAGCAGTGGATGTTGCTGTGCATCTATGTGCATGGCATTTTAGCATGTAACTGCAGGTGGACAAATGAAGATGGTTTTGTAATTCTTACAGTTTTGTAGAGGTTCTTTTACAAAAGCCATCTTTTAGAGCTTTCAATATAGGATGTGCTGTAATTTTAAATTTCCCTTCTTTCAAATGTCATACAGAAAGAGGATCTTGAAAAAACTTTTTCTGAGGTTTTTTTAAGGAGTTTTAAATCTTCTTTTTATTTATTATTTCTGTGACTCATTCATTACAGGATGAAGTCTTACTATCTCTGCATCCTTTTTTCAAAGCTGTCTCTTTGTAACATTCTTTTTCCTTCTTTACTGCTCTGACTTCTGTCCTTTTACATTCCAAAAGTTCTCTGAAGATCAACATATCAAAGACTCTATCTGACAGGGACTTGATACCATTAGTGATAATATCTTTATTGTACTTCTGAACTTAACTGTTGCAACTTCCAGTTCTCTGGGAATTTCCTGCTGTCTGGCTTTTCACCTATCTCAAGGAGTAGCAACCAAACAAGGAAATATCAGGGCATGTCAGATGCAAAAAAAAAATAAATTCACAGTACCTCTCTGATAGAAACAGCAAATAGGGACTACAATGCCCAGATATCACTAACTGCTCTAGTTAAAATTAACCTTGTGATGTACCAGCTGAAAGAGGATTGCCAAAAAGAAGGAGAGAAAGCAAAGAGATCAGAGTATTGGAAATGGAAGGGGGCAGAAATGGACAAGAGGGTTATGATGAGATCTTCCCCACATAAGAAAATTATCCTTCTATGGTAATCTATTTCTCGATCTGCCTCTCATTTTGTTTCAGAGTCTACTTAAAAGTATCATTTCTGGCCCTGAAGGCCTTCCTTGCTTGCTCTCACCCCAGGCTTTCTCATCCTTTTCTTTTCAGTAGCTAGTATTGAAAAAAAATACAACAGTATCTTAAAAAAAAAAAAAACAAAAAAAAAACCCAACAAAAACACAAACGAAAACCAAAAAACCCCACAGCTTTTGGTTACCAATGCATGCAGTCTGTAGTGGACCTATTGTACATGCACAGTAAAGATAACCTGGACATACACAAGTAGCTGTGTGTTTATTGCTTTAACTGACTACCAAGTTCCTGAAATTAATATTCTAAATCAGCAGGATGATAGCAGTTTTGTAAGGATTTCCTTTTAGTTTAATGCCAGTGAAGCCTCATGTATAAATCTTCCTTTTTGTCTTTGTGCTTTCTGCATCCAGGAATAGTATGTAATTATTGCATTATTTTATAGTTCATGACATGATCTCAACAGGTGCTTTAATGTAAATTCCTGAATTTTACTGCTTCTAAATCAGGTATGAAGTACCAAAACTGAAATATGGGTTACAAATGTTTGTATTTGCAGCAGAGCAGATGCAAATTTGGAAGCTCATTTATGATATTATTAATTTATTGTTTATACTTTCTTCCCTAGTGAGACTTTCTAATTTCTCTATTTTCCTATTTAATTTTCCATTTAACTGGATCTATCTTCTGTGCTAAATTGCATATGCAGATAAGCAATTGACTTATAGAGTGGTGCAGAAAAAACAGTTGCATCTAAATAATAGCAAGATAATTTAATTTCCTACAGATTATTGTATTTGGTGAGTCAGTCAATATCAATATGAATGTCTACCATGAACTGCAAAACAAAAGTCCTTCAAGATACCTAAGTAAGAAAATCTTTCTTCCATGATGTTTGTTTAAAACATGTAAAAACACATTTTTACAGGTGGTGAACTTGCAGAATTTGTTGGCAGAGGAGGTTGTCAATGCTGGCAGTACCAGAAAACCCAAGAAAAAAAAGGGTTAGGCAAATGAATGGGGAACAGGCCCATAGACGCTGGAAGCACAGGCAGGGATGTGCCCACTGACCCACCAAGGCTGCGGTCTCTGGGCAGGACAGGGCACTCCGACAGGGGAAAACAGCTCTCCCCCCAGCAGTGGCTCTGGTCATCACTTGGGGGCAACAAGATCAGTGCCCCTTGGAAAGGCATTTCTTACTCTGATCTGATTTTTTAATTACCTTTTCACAAGTAGTAAGCATCTTCTACCCTCAGAAATATAATGCCAAATTAATCCAAAATGAAAAGGCTGGATTAAATGGCCATGAATTGAATCTGCATCCACTTCACAGAAAGAGCTGGCAATGCAATGCCTAATGTTCATAACTGCTTTGCTTCACTTGAAGGCACAGTGTATTGCACAGGAGTTTTGGCTCAGGACACATAATTGCCACATGTATTTTCCTTTTTATGAACAAGTTTATGGTTATGTCATTTAAAATTAATAAACCACTGATAAAATCTTTGATGTTATTAAAACATCTAGCATTTTAGGTTGTATCAGAGCGCTTCTCTACTACTTTTATATATCTTACCACAAGATTTACTGCACTTGCTTCATAAAGACAGTTGATTTTAAAGGGACCTGCTTCTGTAGTTTATTGTTTGGATTATATGAAACATCTGAAGATGCTCTACATTTCTGGGAAATAGTGTGTTCTTGAGAACTCTAAAACTGTCATAGAGGTTTCCCTTTAATACTAATGCTGTACATCATTGCAAAGGATAAAAACATTTAAGTAATAAGTTTTTGGATTTGGAAGATATTCACATTTTAGCCCACATTATGACATATTGTTTTTATTCTGATGTAAGTGTAATTAAATTACCAAGACTAAGTCAAAACAGGAAATAATTTCTTAAAATACTGATGGAGTAGTCATTTTGTATCATTAATTTATGGACTCGTAAAAACTTTGGATGACATTAATAAAGCTCAGTAAAATTTTGAATATTGTCACTGTTAATTATTAATAATAATATCCGCAAGCTAAGTGATACTCTTTATTTATTTCAGAAAGTGGGTTTTGCAAACTCATATCATTACCCTACACATCACAGTCACCTAGTCATTTTCACAAGTTTGGCCATTATTTAACTTGAGAAGAAAAAGAAGCCAGTGTTTAGTGCCTCACATTTATTGCTTTTCCCCAATGTTATTCTTCCTTTAGAATTAATAAATAACCAAAAATGGTGCCAAAGAAAGAGGAAACGATGTTTTATTTCCAACCAAGATTCTTGTCTTTTGAAGAATCTACCTCATTTCTCAAAATTATGGTTCTCACCACACAGAGGAGATGTGGCTTGCTCTTCATGCATAGGGCTTGCATGCTTTGAATGCTGTAGATTCACATCAGGCAGAAATGACAAGCGGGAGAAAATTACTGAACCAACTATTGTGTAAATTGTGTCCTGGCTTGAGTAGGGCACAATTTCTCAAAAGAAGTACTCCATCAGCAGTGATTTGACTGGAGATGTAGTTGGAATTTTATTTTTTCAGCTTTTGAAAAAATGTTGAAAACACAATAGTCATATGTTGAAATATTTGACAGTGGAGTTAGATGCTCTCCATCTTATGATCAATTCAAAAGAAATATACTGGAAAATTTTTCTGTAATCAAGATCTTAAGAATTATATTTGTATTTCTATCTTGAACACAGTTTTGAAGTGGTATATTCATAGATTGCAGATTTTTGATAACTTTATATACTTATAAATATTGTCCCTAGCACAGATTTGATTTCTCGGTGTCTCATGTGACTTTCCTAGCCTTTGGAACTGATCTTGGACTACAGGTATATTGCAATGCCATTCATTGACTGCTAAGTTTTGCTGTTGCTGTTTCATTTGTTACTACATGTTTTATATAGCCACAGTAACTTTTGGAGATTAGTACTGCACATTGATCAGTTGGTGTTTGTGAAGGCAGCAGAAAATCACGTGGCTTGTCATTGCCCACAAATCTGACATCATGACATCTGCAAGAGCTGTAATTGCTTGAATGTTCTTGGACAGTAACATGAACAATGTGAGACTTCTCAATTTTTTGGCAAGCTTTCAGAGCTTGTTAAGACAATTAAACAGTCTTGGAAAAATAAGTACTTTTAATGACTACAGTTCTTAAAGATATTTGTTGCTGATAATTTCATCTATTTTATATTGTATAAATTGATCTAACTTGTTTTCTGTCATTCTGTTTTATTCCCTACACGTTTTCCTACTCAGCCTCATATCCCGCTTTGAATTGCTAAAAATTGAAGACTGTCTGCTGGTGTGTTTTGAATGGCAACCCTCAGATTTTTTTTTTTTGAACCTGTAAGCACTTTTTTAAAAGCATCATACTCAAGTTCACCTGTAGCACTTGTATAGTGTATGGAAAAACCTATTTTCTGTACTAAACTTCAGTTCTGTCTTTAAAACAGGCATTTTTCCAAATATGCTGAGAACATTTTTCAGAAGTCAATTTGAAAATGTAACCATATGTATGCCTTCACCTAGTGATATTTTCTTAGTGAGCTAAGAAAAATAAGTTTTAGCTAATGTCACACTGCTAAGTCAGAATAGCTGCCAAGCAGTGAGCTGGATGAACTGTATTCTGTCTCCAGAATTAACGACAGGGCTGATATTAGCAAGATCAAATCTCTGCGGTCTTCAGTGGCAGTGGGCAATGAATGACAGAGAGCAGGGAGGAAATGAGCTCATTTGCAGGTAGCTGAATGCACTCTGTTAATGTACTGGCATGTGTAGCCTGAGAGAACAAATGAGATATTGATAGAGTGACACCCAGCAGAGCTGCCAACCTGCCACCTTTATTGGTTTTTTTCTGATCATAATTTCACCAGGTTAACTTGGTAAATAGAAACCACAGCGACTTCAGTCTCACTCAGTGAAGAGGTCATATGTTAGAACATTGAAACATTGTTATCAACACTACTTAAAAAGGCAAAACCAACCTAACACCTATGTTTCACCAGCACTATGGGTTTATGTATCTATTTACTTTAATTTTATTATTATACATGTATACATGTCTGTATAAGTGTGCTGGTTTTGCATTGATTGACATTTAGGGAAGAAGTAAGAACTACAATAAGTAATATAAGATTTCAACTAAGTCTGTCTTCACTTGTCTCTGATTTCCACCTTCTTTTAACTCTTAATTTTGCCAAGGCTGCCTGAAGGAGTCAATTGTCTGATGGCATGCATTATCCAAGGATTTGTTTTCAAATATAGGCACTTTTAAGGGATTTAATAATCTGAAGTATTCATGAACAGGAAAATATGGAAAGCTTTCTGCTATTATCAATGAATTGGTTTTCAAAGTGGAAATGACAAAAAATTATATTTTTTCAATCCTTGCCAATGCCTTTTCTTGTTTCATATAGGAACACTTTATTAATAGCAGCCTAAAGATACGAGATATATGACACATGCTGGGCTAAAAATATTTTTATTCAGTACTGAATTCTTTACCATTTTAATTCACACGTTCATCTATAACTAGTAGCAAATTTCTGGTAAAATATGCATATTTGGATGATATTGATAAAACTATATGATGTTTTAACTTCTACATTTTCATAGAAAAGTCATTCTGTTTACAGGTAGTATTTAAATGTTCCAAACCCCTGTTTTTAGAGAAGGACACACTGACATTTTAATGAATAAGGTAATGGTGGCTGCTAGGAGAGCTAGCACTTATTATGTTGGACAATGTTTCTCTTCTTCATTTTATGGAACAGAAATCTGCATTTCCTTACACAATATTTTTGAAGATTTTTTTGTCTCAGAGTTCTTTTTGTTTGATTTGGTTTCTTTTTTTTTCTTGGTTGTATTTTTTTAGTGATGTAAATCCTGCATATTAAATGTAGGATGCAGCAAAAGGTCCACCTAGCTATATATACCTTCCCATTGCTAATGCCATGAGCAGATGAAAGAGTATCCCAGTATCTGTCTATTGCTTTGTTCACTGTCTGAAGGAAGCAGATGTATACTTATCTCTGAGAGACATTTGTCACAAAAACATGCCTTAAAATTATCTCATTTCCACTAGGCAAATATTCTCCATAGATACTGGAAGACACCTGGATTGGGCAGGTGTAGCAAGGTTCAGCCAGCCTAAAGTAGTTTAACAGCTCTTTTAATAAGGAGGCTGTATCTGATGAATGTGAATACTGTTTCCAATGCCAACAGGTCTCTCTTTACAATTTAATTAGCTCTACAATTAGAAAATAGCTAATTTCACTAAGAATCCACTTGAGCTGTATGACCCTTTCAGAAAACAGCATGTAGATTTTCTGGGACTAGTGCTAGATAATTGTTTGTCCAATATGAGCCACAAATCACTTTCTTAGATCTCAGTCTTGTAATTCTCGGAGGTCAGGGGTCTATTACTGGCTCTCACTTTAGTAGAAGGATGGCTGTGAGCTCATATCACCTTCCTGTTTATGGATTAAAGAGCATTTAGGTGGTGATGCTTCGAAGTGAGAGATTTGGTCTCAGATTGTTCTTCCCAGCTTTCTCTTTTAGCTGCAAGCCACTCATTTAACTGTCTGAAAGTTGTATCACTGCGTATCTATGTCTCAGTGAAATGACAAGCTGTTGGCTAGCATTTCTCCTTAAATGTGTGCAGAGGAATGACGAAGAATAGCATATTCTTCTGTTTCCTTATTTTGCTCTGTTCAGAACTTCATCTGTTTCATCAGGACCTGACAAAAGTGATGAGAGAAACTTGATTAATGGTAGGCAGCAGCCTTGACACAGTTCAAGCAATGATGCTGTTTGTACCCAGATGTCAGTGGTGATGGGCTGGTTGGGACAGGGTGTTCACAGCTCTGGTGGGGGCAGCAGCAGCTGCTCTGTGTGCACTCTCAGCACAACAGGGAGCAGCACTGGGAACTACTATTAGCATACAGCTCATCTTCCTCACTGCTAGCATGAGGTCAAAACTTCAATCTAGTCCCAAATCACTGCTTGATAGGTTGTACACTCCAAAATGTCATGATCCTGCTCTGCTTTAGCAGCAGCATATTTCTGTCTGAAGACCAGCTGCAGCCTCAGTGCTGTTTATACACACCCACTAGCTGACACATGGTTTTCAGTGCATGCCAACTAATGAAAATGGGCTTTCATTAAAAATCTTTAATTTTTGTTTTGCTTTGTGTCGTTGGTTATATTTTTAAAGGTAATGTTCTAAAAATGGAGAGATGTAAGGCACCCCTCTGGGCAACCAAACCACTACACAAGGGACTTGAAATGCAGGACAAGACTGCTTTTCTTTGCGGTGAGGACTGAAGTACAGCAGAAGCACAACTTGGGAAAATGGAAGACTCAGATGTGTCAAAGGTGGAAGTGTGATTTAGCAGTCACATCAAAAGATACTCAGAAACAGAGGAATTGTTATCGACCTCTTTTTGGTCACTGGGCATGTTAACTGACTGTCTTCAGTGGGGAGGGGAAAATGAAAAAAACAACAAAGAAACCCCAAACCCCAAGAAGCTGGTCATTATCCCTTGAAAAAAATTTTCTCATCTATTAAGCCAACAATTGTCTTTAGTTCATTCATTCTGCAATGTTTCAAAATAGTTTTTCAAAATACCTGATGCATAGTCCAGACTCCTGCTTTTCCTTCTACACCCAGCCATCACTGATGCAAGTAGCAAAACCTGGGACACCTAGTAAAGAGCAGCATAGAATTTACTCCCAGTCCATAGTAAGAAGGAAAACTAATTTCCTGCATGTCCTCTTGAGGAATATAAGGAGAAAATTTAATGAAGTAAATCACTGGTATAGTAACTTTGTCCTAAGACAAAGTACTAAAGAAAGCAATGCATGACCTGTAACATTGACAAAAGAGAGGATAGAAACATCCTTTAACTCCTCAAAGTCTGTAGATTTTTTACAAAGCATCTTTTCAAACACAATATGACAGATTAGGGCTCAGAGTTTTCATAAGAAGCTAATAGAGTTAAATATTTCAATCCTCTTAACAATAAGGGACTGGACATTCAGTGTTGCTAGGCAGTTCTGCAATATCAACATCTAGAAATTACAAATGAATGAAAGTATAAAAAGTCTTCCAGCTCATTTTTGCATTAAAGAGAAAAATGTACTGTCTAGTATTTATGAAGGTTTTATTTAGCCTATTTCAACTGTTTGACTTCTGTAAATATTCTGAAATTATTTTTTATTCATTGTCTTAAAACATCAGTTTTTAAATGCTTTTCTTTCATTGTCTTAAAACATCAGTTTTTAAATGCTTTTCTGTCTCTAAGGAAATTCAGGATTAATCAATGTGATTTTCAAGCTGTAGCACATAAAAATTCAAGCCCACTGACATCATTGCAAATTGCATGCCAGCCTAAGGTGTATATTGGTTATTTTTCAAAAAGAACCTAGTTTTTTCACTCTTAGGATCTTAGTTTTCCTCTTTAACATTTTTCTGGCCTTTCAGAAAAATAGAACTGTCATATCTTGATATCAAAATGCTAGGACTCAGAACCAAGGGTACAACTCAGTCCCAATTTTTTTTTGGTTTATATTTTATTCAGATCAAGTCATAAATAATTTAATCAATAGTTTATAACTAATTTTAAAAATGTTTTTCAGATCTGAGGTCTTATATGGTAAACATTCATGCTGAAATTGTTTGACAATTACCAGCTTCAAAAAGTGGAAATAAGTAGGGTGACACTGAGATAACCCCGGCTGTTCTGCTACTTCTAAGATAAAATGGTATATTACAATAAAATATACAGCTGCATTTATAATTCTTTCTGAAAAAATGAGCAGTAATTCACTACTGAAGAAATTCCACTGACTATAATCTGTTTAGGCTTGTGTGCTCTCTGAAAGAGCGCCACTAGAAATCCAAAAAGATCCTGTTACTTAAATATTTCATCACAAGTTATTTGCTAGGATGTGACAGTTTTCATAGTTAGCACGGCAAGCTATCTCATTCAGCAGCACTAAAATGTCTCTTTCTAGAAGAGACCCAGTCCTCAAGTGTAAAAGATATTCAAGTAAAACTTGCAGGAATGACAGTGCAGACACAGAGTTACAGGCGTTTTTAACTAGCAACGCTGCTTATCCTCCAGACTTAAGTTTGGCTTTTCATTAAAAGCCTCCTGTCTCTAGTTTTCACTTGTTTTAAAGAATCATTTTAGTAGTTCCCTCTGCTTTAAGCTGGTTGAGAAGAGTTGAATACAGCTGTTGGCCTGTGTGACACAGAGCAAGTACAGAAGGGGATGCCAGAGAACCACATCCTTGCTATGGTCTCCGGCAGAATCCTGAGCTTTAATGAAGCCTTAAGGGCTCAACTTAGTATATGGTCAATTTAGGAAATACTTCCATTGCCTAAGCATTCAACAGCATTACACAATTAACTTGGAATTTGAGAGAATAGCGAGACTTCCTCTTTTGATGAAGCATCCCACGTGGGCAGAGCTTTAAATAGATTACCAGGTTTAGATAGGGTGTTCACACAGATGTTGATCAGGTACGATAAATCCCGTCTTTGTACCTTTCCATGACACTAAAAAAGCTAGCATATTTTTCTTTCTGTGTTACTTTTTGTTTAATCTGAGATGTTAACATTGCAAATTTTTGACTTTGAAAGATTCTAAACAGTTTTGAAGTTTCAGACTGCAGTTGTAAAATAGAGTGTTCTAAAGCTGACGTTCATTCTTTTGATAATGGATGAGTCAGAGAAGAACATAGACATGGACTTCTTGCCTGTAAACTTATATTAATAGAACTTCCTTGTTTGAGAAAATTGTTCACAACTTCAAAAAAAAAGTACTGGCCCAGATGAAGTAAACACTCTTAAAGTGCCCGGATGTGACTAGTTTTGGAAATAAAAGGTATTGATATTAGAGAGAGTTTAAACTCAGCAGTGTATCAGAACAGCTACAATGAATAGTGCAGCATTTCAGGATGCATTTTAGTACTTATTCCTGGCAAATGGCATGGAAAAAATTCTTGTAAAATTTAGAAAGATAAAACAAGGTATTGTGGATTTTCAGATTACTGTATTATAGTAATAAGTTACACAACTGTAACTTGTAGTTTGGCTATAACATTATAACAATTAAAGAAAAAATAAAATATCCCCTTAGGAATGATGAGTGATCTAATTACAGCTAAAACAGATAGAAAATGTCTAATGCCTACACTGCTATTTTATTTGCATACAGAGGAGCAGATGACATTTTTAAAGAAGGTCAAATTTTTAAAGAAAGTCTGACCCTTGGCCCTCAGTGAAGGTAAAAAATACAGTACTTTTTTAGATTCATATATTGCCAAAGTACTGAGGTAGATTTATAATTATGTGCACAGGTTTATGCTCATGCATCACTGAAATTCCTGGGGCTGTGACTTGAAACACTTGAAACACTGGTTGGCCATTAAACTTATGAAAGAGGAAAAGGAGATAAAAATATGGCCAATCATATTTATTATAGTACACTTATTTCATTATTAGTTGTATATCAGATATTTAAAAAATCTAATGTCCCTGTATTTCTTCTTCCTTTTCCTAATTTTTACATAGAAATTAATACACTAAAATTCCTGTGATTTTATGGTTTGTAAAATCTCCATTGGAAATCCTAAACCTATGAGAAGATCCTAAATAGTAAATCCTAATGACTATACTGAACTACATTTATACAACTGAAACAGGAAAAAGTTCCCATTTATTTTCACCTTAATTTTTTCCAGCAAAAGAGAAGGGGACATAAAAACACTGGTAGTGAGGAAACTGGTTATAAGCCTTTCAATGGAAACTTATTACTCTACTATTACTCTTATTACTCGACTTATTACTCTACTACATATTGCATGTATTAATTCCCATACAGATGTAGTGAAAAGACATCGAAATTTGGGGACAGGAAGAAACAGGAAAATGGAAATGCGGTTATCTTCATTTGTTTCCTTACACATTATGTAACTCATTTGTTTTGCAAAAGTGCTCCATGTACCACACATACACACCAAATTTTGGATTTTTTTTCCTCTATGATTATCAATGTAAAGTAGATTAATTTTTCTTTTACATGGAAATGTCCATAATTTAAAGCCAGACTTGAATGGATAAATGCTGCAAAGATGCTTGGCTCAGAATCCAAGAAGTTTTATATAATGCAAGCTATTTTATAAACAACTGCTGAGTCACAGAAAATTATGTAAATTATATGCAGAATGATTTTATGAGATCAAACAGCCCTCTCTTGGCTGTTACATGACTGTTTTTTACAGTCTCTAGTACAGGCCACTTGGTTATCTTCAAAAAGAGGAGTTAATGTAGTCTGACTGCCCCTACTACAGATTTTGCATTTAAACAGATATAAAAATCACACTTAAAATTTTGCTATTTGAAGTTAACTCCAAAACAACTAGTATCCTCCTACCTGCTTCCCCCAATTTAATATAGTTTAAATGGGTATCTTCATGGCATAGCACATACCCTTTCTGAGGAATCTGGGATTTTACAGCATTTGAACCAAAAATACTCTGAATAAAATGCTACACCAAAATCAATCAATGCTGTTATTTTAATCATATTTAATTGACTCTAAGTATGCCCTATGGAAAAAAATAAAACATGAATAAGCATCTAAGAAGGCTGAATTGAAATATACCTATTTCTCAATGTAAACTTTCTTTTTTTCTTTTCTTGCCTCCCACCTGGGGCTTTAACAGCACTGAGACTCCTGATAAAGTGAATTCACACCTTTTCCTCCTTTTTCTCTGCAGGCTTCTCTCTGTTTTTTCTTGGGGTCAAGACCCTCATTCCTCCACCATTTATTTTTAGATACTCCTGCTATTAATGCTGGCAGGTGTGGACAGATGGGAAAATCGATGCTAATTTCTTGTTTCTTTCTTTGTTATCTCAGTCTGTTGGCCATTGGCATAGATAGTGGTGTAGTTGGGCTACAACAAGGACTCTCCTAAATGGCACATTGCAGCAGATTTGCATGAATAACAGTAACAAGCAGTGAAGGCTCACAAATGGCTTTGTTTGCTAATTTGTAATGTGGAGGTCAGATATAATGGAATCTGACCTCCAAGGGTAAGAGGAATTGCCCATATGCTGTTCCCAGATCCAGAAACAAAAGCTCTACACATAAAGTGAAACTATTGTTAGCCCGCTGTTACATGGAGAACACTTGATTCTTTATGTCTTTGTTTGTTCTGTAAGCCATTTTCTCAAAACTTGGTTACATTGGTGCAAATTGCAACCAAGATCTGCTCTAACTTGAAACCTCTGTCTTAACCAAGAGTCAAAAAAAAAGAAAACAGTGAAAAAAACGGGAAAAATTGTTAGAGGAATTTATACAGGCCGGCTTTGGGAAAATACTTTTTAGTTTGAATTGATACTAACCGAAACGCTATTACTCAAAGCATAGCCAACTAGTTGCAGTTTAAACAATTGTTTCTAGAATTTGAACATCAGAGGACATAATCAGTGACATAACTGTAATTATCGAAGTGTATCAATACTGACAAAAAGAAAATTTTTTTCAAGTTTTACAAAGCTAACTTTAAGCTACTTAACACCAAAGTTGATTGAGAGTCACTTAAAACTCAGAACAAATCTAAAGATTATTTGACTTTTTAAACATTTGCGAGTTTATTGGTGAACTGCACTGAATTTATAGTTCTTGATTTG